TGTCGGCAAGCAGGGATGTCCAGCGCCATCAACCTCTCGGGCCAAGGCAGTTTCGACGCGAAATTTTACGTTTCCAAGAGTGTACATATATTGTACGTGAATTTTTCGTAGTGAGCTTTTGATACGATGATGAACCTGATGAATACGAGTATGATTACTACGTTGAGTGTTGTAGTTATAGACAACGGCGTTTGCTGAAAATATATTCCCGCCTTTAAGTAAGTAATTTTTGACAGAAACCACTGATTCCTCTACCAAGAGATAAGGTAGTGGTAAGATACCTAGATTAATAAAAAGAGGCTTACGAGAATCACGTGGGTGGGATTTGCTTATGATTGGTGCAATTTTTTTGCAATCTTAAAGTATGGTAACTATAAGATGTAATTCCCAAAAATATTATGCCATAACTCAGGCAGGAATGAACATTCGCGAAATATACACAACGAGCAGTATGGAAACTGACTAAATTTAAAAGAATTCTGAAAGCGCGACATAAAGAACTTAATTTAGGGTTAAATTCATTTAAATGGACGCTACATTTAAGGTTTGACTCAACTGAAAGACCTAAAAAATTTTGTTACCTTAACATCAGTCAATGGCACACCGTTCATTATCAATGAAATGCAGAGCTGTTTATTTGAAATGGAAAACTGCATTGAAACAGTTTTCTTGTCATTTACTATTAATTTGTTATTACGGAACAATTTGAAATATCTGCTATTGTACTATTTACGGTTTCTTTATTGCAAAGAATATTCGTACCATCCGCAAAGAGAACTGTTCTTCCGTTTCTAATCCTCAAGGGCATATCGTTTACGTACAGTAGGAAGGGAATAGGAGCAAGGAGGGAAGGGACGGCATGAAAAGAAAACACACACACTTTTTCGGTATCAGGGGACCCCAAAACGTGTAATCAATTCAATTTTCGTTTTCAACAAACGTGTAATGAAATCAATTTTCCGTAGCATTACATAATTTTCTCTATATTTCGTATACGAAAAAGTAAAAAGACTGAAAAATGATTAACGGGCCCGAAAATGTGCTCTCCTCGTTTTATACCCTGCCTAGGCAACGAGGTTTTGCCTACTCTGAACATCCTTTTACGGGCCACCAGTCCCCCGAAACGTGCATTCTGACTGTACTGTCGTTTCCAGAAAGTAATTTACTAAGCATAGGAGCACGAAAAATCCAACGTTTCGGTCTCAGGGGCCCACAAAACATGTCTTTTCGCCAAACCCTCGACATCAATATTTTTGCAGCATTAACCGTTTTTACTCTACGTTTATGAAGAAGTATAAGTTGCATTTTTTTTAGTAATTTTCCGTTAAGTAGATATAAGTTCCCACGGTGTAAAAGAACTTTTCTTACACCGTGAAACGTTTTATTTAACTGTACCTATACCTTTATTTTAGAAGTTGCAACACACGAAGAAATACATAATAATAACTTCACAATGACTCCAAAACTAAAACCAAACCATTCAACTTTAAGATATCCACAGTATATTGGAAATTGAATGATTGCCCCAGGAGTTTGGTATTAGTTATGGGCAGTGGAGAAGATAAAATTGATGCAATATCTTTAATTTTTGTGAGGTGTACCCTCAACATCAGTGGTCACAAATCATGCAGTGAAACAATTTCACTGTGTATCATATCGATGTTCTACTGTGTACCAAAGCACCTTCGAATAAAAACATACTGCCTTATTTTAAGTATCAGTTTTAAAAATGCGAAAACTGGTAGAATTATTTCCAAAAGAACCAGCAATTGATTTTACATTATTTATACTTATATTGTATTTTTTTACTACGAGGGTCCAAAAAGAAGGCAAAAAGTAACTCCAGGTCTTCAAAAAACGAAAATATTTTATAACAAACCACTCACGCGACTTATAAGACCAAAAAATTAGAATATGTGAAGACTAATATTCATCGCTGCCAACAAAGAACAATAAAAAAGGTACACTGTTTCCTACTTTCCTTTATTTATTTGATTTATTAACGATTCACTGAATCTTCACTTTGAAGAATGAGATAGTCTGAATAATCAACAAAGAAATTATTTCACGAATGTGGACGGTTAACTTGAGTTTAAAATTTGCGCGTTGAAATTTTCTTTAGGTCATTGACCTCTGGACATTATAAAATTATAAGTTATCACCATTAACAACACTCGAGTTCATTAAAAAATCGAAATCAATACAGTTTTACGTAACCCGGTTTTTTTAATCATTTTCCGCGCCACCAGTATTCGCCTGCTAGAACTCCGTCGTGATGGTGTTCTTCCATGGTGTATCTTCGTAAATTCTTTGGTTGGTGCGCAGAACATCCATGTGGCGATAGAAATAACCAATAACGGCATTCATATACTCTGTGATTTTGGATGCTGTCTGTGATTGTTGTCTGTGCGTGGGAGGTATTAATTGTTGTGATGTGATAATTTGCTTTATTCATGAGTTATTATTGTATTGTAATGCGAGAATGTTGAGATTCCTGAGTAGAAGGAAAGGACGTAATGCTCCAAAATCGGCTCACATTAAAACTGGTGGATCACAGAGATCATTGTCGTCGAAAAATGTCATACAGTGCCGTGTTATTCTTTTGGATGGCACCAACCTCTCAATTGATTTGTCTGTAAGTTTATTTATGCTAGATAATAATTATTCTCCTTAATTAACAAAGTGTGATGCTTCATATTCATGTCAAGCGCAAATAATTTTTCATTTTTCGTATTAGTGTTTTAATGAATTCAAATATTTTTGTTACTTACAAGGCTTTACCTTGACTTAGCCACAAAATTTATGTTTTCGGACTGATGCATTGCTATTGTGAAGATGGATAGTTTCAGGAGTTGTGTGAACATTGAAATTTGATCAGTGAAATGTTAGACTTATCTTTTGTGAAAATGTAATGTGACACACTTAATACTTTTCATTTGCATTCTATCAAACTTTGAATTTGCAGAGAAAAGCTTGATATAATGGTATTTGCTAATTGATGTTATGCTTGTCATGTTTATCCATATAATCTGTAATATTTGACATTTGACATTATTTAGGTATGTATTATTTTTGCAAGTTCAATAAAAGTATAATTGTATAGTTATTTCACAGTATGTTATGAAAACATCAAGTTATAAATTACATTAATCAAAATGTCTGTATTTTTATTTTTCAATTGCATTGAATGAATTGAATCAATTAAGTAAACAGAACTAGTTGTAGTTTTAATATTCATCATTATATCTATTACAATGTGTAGTTCTGTAAAGGAGTAATTCCTTTTAGTGGACGTCTCTTCAATTACATACTTTTTTTTGAAGGAATGTTTCTGTACTTTAGTGTGATGATCTGTTCTGAGTTAATGATGAACAAATACTAAAATATATTCCTTTCTCCTTCTCTCAAAATTTTAAAGCTGGTGTTCAAAAATACCTTAGATATGTTATTTTTACTTGTGAACTCATTTGATCTTTTTTGCCCAAAGTTAATGTTTGGTATGCTTCACACTTCGACATTCTTCTTAAACTGCTTGATTTACGGGCCTGCAGCAGAGTTGCTGTTATCCCAATGTCCTTTCTACACCACCAGTTGTTGAAGTCAAAATGATGGGATAGTTAACAATATTGCTTATGTATTGAGCTTTGAAATCTGTATAAAGAGTGATCATGCTTTATTGTTGAGTTTGCAAGGCAGAAGGGTATACTTTATACAATCTTTTTTATTATGTACTGGACAAATGGGAGAGCAACCAATGTTATATTGAAACAAAACTCTTTTTACTGACCTGGTGTTTAATTCTACTCCTCTTGAAAACTTTGAGCTGCACTGTCAATATTTCTGTTCTTTGATGAATTGTTTGGTTGCTTCTTGATGACGAATAGATATCTACCAGTAGTCTCATGCTTGCAGTTCTGAATGCATCTTTGTTTGAACTATGTACCTCCTCGAGAAATTGAAAAAAGAGATTTCATTTCCTTTTCCAGTGGGCTCCTTTTAGTTGCTGTTTTATTAACTGGACTGTCACTTTATTTCCTGAGATGTCACAATGACAGAATACTTTGAATGTTTTTGTAATCAATGAAATATTTCTTTGATTTGGATGTAGTTGAGTTGAGCTGAAATGTATGAGAGATTGGAATGCACATTTAGAATCAGGGGAAAATACATAATTTTTTTATGGATGATGCACAGGAGCATATTAAGGCTCCTGTTTAACATTGAAAGATATTGTAGCTATTGGAATATAATAATCTTAATTTTTGTGAGGATGTAGTCAGCTCCTGCTCTTTTTATAGTGTTCATACCCAGGATCATAGGTATATATCTGCAGGTAAGTATTGCATTTCTCATTGAAGAGCATCATGTTTTGAAAAAACTCTTTTATTTCTTTTCCCAAGATCTTCCGGCAAGTAGAGGAAACTCGGGGAGCAATCCAACTTCACAGAGGAACAGAATTTACTAGTGGCTTTGACATAGGCATTGGAATGAGAATGTGTTATTTGTCAGTGATGTGTGATGTATATCCACAAGACTGTGAGAAATGATAGTGGAATGGTTGTAGGGAGTAAAGATAATCATTTTTTTTAAATTTTCATTATCATTATGAAAACACAAATTTTACATATGTCTTCCTAGCTTATTCCTCCTTGCAGTTGATTTAGTGGTTTACTCCAGTAAGGGTTTCTGCTTCTCCCACTTCAATTTTGTTTTTCCTATGTTGCCTAAAATCCTATCCTAAAATTCAAAATTCCTTATTGCAAGGACTGTGCTTTGAAGTCTACTTCAGTCTTCAATTTAAATACAGTACTAATGTTTTTTTTTTCACTTTTATTTGGGGGGGGCTAAAGTACATTAATTTCTTTTTATTTTCTTATCTCAAAATTAACACTCTTTTAAAGTTCTCAACATTATTGCTTTTAGGCACTAAAAATTATCGAAATTTGCAAAACTCTTTGATATATATAAATCAATGCAGTCGGAATAACTAAAGAACAAAGTAGTACTGCCATCGACCAAATAATAAGAGAGACAAATGATTGAAACTATTCAATTTTTACATTTAATACAAGCTTTAGTGACCACTCAGCCCGAATTGTCAATCTTGAAATGGACACAAAACTTTAGAAAACACTTAATTGAGAAAGCTGAAACTTCTTCCAAGGAAACCTAGATAAATTTTACTCGGTAATATGTTCACAAAACTGGGATGAGGTGTACAAGGCAACAAATATAAATGCCAAATTCAACTTGTTCATAAATATATTTCAAAGCTATTTCAATGTAGTTTTCCTGCAGAAACTTATGAAATGAAAAGCAAAGAAAAAAACAACACAATTCATGGACAACCACAGGAATCAATATTATAATATGAAAGAAAATGCAATATGTATGAAACAATCCTTTCGAGCAAGTGCAGTTCTGATTTCATTGCTGATTACAAAATATACAAAAGTATTCTGAAGAAAGTAATTCAATAAGCCAAACTACTAATGAATGATAAACAACTAGCCAAAAAACATTGAACTTCACTACAAAATTATCATTGTGCACAACCCACAGGAAGTAGCAAACACTTTCAATAAACATTTCTCAGAAATCAGAGAAAAATTAATCCATCAAAACTCGTTAAATAATATAAATTTTGCAGTCAAATACCCACACAATATCAATGCAAATTCCATATGTATCCCTGAAACACCCTCATAAATACCAAAAATCTTAAATCGTATGAAAAACAAATTCTGTGCAGGACTGGAAAATAGTACTGACCTAATTAAACATACTGCATCATACATAATAGAACCACTCAGACTTGTAACCATGCCGTAATAACTGTTTTTCCAGAAATTTTCAAAAAGGCAAACATTAAGGCACCTTAAAAAAGGCAACACTCGTGACCATGCATTACAGGCTAATATTCCGACTCTCAGGATTTTCAAAAATTTTAGAAAAAGTGTTCAATGTTAGACTCAGAAATTTTCTCAATTCAAATAACACACTACGGAAATTCCAATATGGATTCAGAATTGGCAAATTTGCAGGCACGGCCATCTCTTTTCTCAGTGAAATACTTCTTGCTTTAGATCAGAAAGAAATTCCCATTGGTTTGTTCTAGAATTATCAAAGCATTTGCATTAATGACCACATACTGTTATCAAAACTTGAAACTTTGGGAAGTAGAGACATTGAGTTATGGGTTAAATCTTACCTTTTAAAATGTAGGTAAGTAGACACAATCTAGCATATTGCAGATTAAAAGATTTCAGCCCATTTTCACATCCTAGTATAAATTATACTGCCCTCGATGGCTCGTTAGGGTGCTTGCTTTCCAAGGCACAACCCCCGGGTTCAATTCCTGGGTAAAATTTATTAATAATTTTAAAAAAATTCTGTGTGCTTTCCTTACAAATTTCCCAGTTTCTATTGCTGTGTGATGCCTACCCTAAGGTTAAGAAGAGCAGTACGTACGGTGTAGGGATATCTTTGTGCTGCTCCCCCCCCTGTCCTGTGGCCGAGAGGCTTAGCCACCGTTGGTCAGCCAAGGCCTGTTGTGGGCTGCCAAGCAAAATGACTGAATAAATTATGGTGTACCATAAGGATGAATACTCAGACTTGTTTTATTTCTTTTATACTAGGCATGTCCCTGACTGCAACACAACAAAATAGCCCTATCTTCAGACGATTTCTTTTTTTGTTTGGTCCTATCTACCATATACGGCAGTTAGGTGACCCATAGTGGGTTTTCTTGGGATGATGAATTATTCAGGGTGGTTTCCCGTTGCCTTCCCCGAAATTATGATGATATTAGGGGGTGAAAGGACGAACACAACACAACCATGCCAGAGGCAGGACTCGAACCTGTGATCCTTCGGTCCGAGATCACTATGGCACTACTGCCTTAGTGATCTCGGCCACCAGATCGGCATCTTCAGACGATATAAACATTATCAAAGCAAGTACTCTGCATAAAAAGAAGCAGAAACTGTTTTAGAGGCAGTAGTAAAATGGCTCCAAGAAAATAAACTCATCATAAACAACAGTTAAACTATCTTCCTAAACTTCAGGAATCTAGTCTAAAGAAAAGCCACTAGTGTCGTAAAAAACATGCCTGTAAAAATAGCCCCAAAACAACTTTCCTTTTTCATGGAGAAGACCCTTGTGATAAACGAGGATTCTGTTTCTTCTAAATGCAAAAGTTTATAATTTTGATACCATACGAAAAGAGGAATATGCATGTCCTCACAGTGACACTGCACTCTTTCAAAAAGTGCCCTTATAAAAGGCATTACACTATATAACAAACTCACTCATGGATTTAAAAGCCTTAATTTAATATGCACGTTTAAAAACTAAAAGCTTTCCTGTTAAACCATACATTCTACAGTACAAAAGAAAATATACATAATAAATGTCCATCTACATCAATGTGAACTTCTAATCCCTTTGTATATTCTGTTCGTGTTTGATATCCTAAGTAAAGATTGATAGGGGTGGACCCAACCTAAGCTTCAAGCTGATTTTCAAAAGCATCCCCCACCCCCTTTTTATGAATATTTTTTGTATTTTAGTCTCTTTGCACTGTCACTTATAAAATAATTATTCATTGTATTGTGTTTTATTATTTGCTATTGCAAATTACATCGAACTTTTTTATATTGTATATTCAATATAATTATATACAATATATACTATATATTCAATATAATTATATATCCTAATTCATATGTAATATATACTATGTTGACTTGTCATACTTGGTTTGTGCTGTATTTTTGGAACAAATAGATGATGATGCTCACCAAAAATTGACTTCTGTCATGGAAAATATGTTGATTCAATTAATTTCTTTTTGTATCTTCTGTTTGCTGGATATGTCAGTGTTCATAAATATTTTCACTTCTAATTTTTGGACTTCTATTTTTTCCTCAATTTTTGTATTGCACTCTGTTCTCTTTCTTCAATTTTTTTTTTATTCTAGCTGTAGGCATATTACTGATTTGTAAGCATTACCTTGTTTACATTATACATATTATTCCATTTGTGAAATTTTGACATTACAATATTTACACTGCTTCCTTAAATAAAGCTCTTCTTATCCCTTTATTTCTAACCATCAAATATCGGTCAGGTGCCAATCTTAATCTGGATATGTGTGAAACTTCTGTCAGGGAGACTAATTAGGAAATCTTAACATGTTTTATAAAAATAAACCTCTATTAGTGAGAATGTAAAACCTATTTAACAGACCCCTTTTCCATCCAGATTTTTCTTGGTGTTTTCTGTGAGAGGTCTTAACATTTTTGGAGTTTCACCAAAATGTATCTTTTTCTTTATGTTTTGCACCTTTCTACATTTTCTTCAATTCTTAACAATATGTACTAATGGAACTAAGTAGGCAGAATGAACATGAAGTACATTCGATCCATTGCCTGCACATTGCAAATGTTGAAGCAACAGTTAAATTTGTGGGCAGTGAGGGAAAAATTAAAGGTACTACATGATTATGATTGAGGCAAGACACTGAAGAACTTCGCAAAGACTTGAATATTCCAAAATCAATTCTTAATTTTTTATTTGTGGTTTGCATGGAGTACTAACATGCAATACATAACACATTTATAAATAATGTTTTTGTGAAAGAATTGTGTTTGTGTATAAGATTCGTCTTTTGGACTGAAACAGATGTGGTTTAATTTTGCTTCAATGAATAGTGTCTCTCAAAGTGATACTAACCCTTTTTAAACTTAGAATAAGTGAAAAACCGGATAAGTGAGGAACTTCTTTAAATGAGAATAAAATTTTTGTCCCTAGAAATCCCATTAACCATATTCTACTGCAGTTCAAATTTGTAGCATACTAAATTGAATACCATTCAGTAAATTCAACAACTTGTTAAAAAAAATTTTAAAGAGTTCTGTCCTCTCCTATTTTTAATTTTATTTGTACTTCACATCTAATTTTGTTTCTTTGCAAGATTGCTTCTTGCTATCAAAATTCAGTCCGTAGTTTTGATTTTGGGCTTCAAGTGTTTTGTTTCAGTGAAATATTGGGTTTGTTGGGTTATGTATTTTTTTAAAGGCTATTCTTTAATTTTGCCCTTTAAAAAAAAATTGAAACTAAAACAATTACGCTAATGTTAAAATGTTTTGATTTCTTATAGAAAAAAGCAGTTGGGAGTGATCTTTATGAACAAGTCTTCTATTCACTTGACCTGATTGAGAAAGATTATTTTGGTCTGCAGTATACAGATGCAAACAATATTCAGGTATGAATTTGGATTATTCTATATTCTAATGAAAATTTAATTGTAATGTCTTTTAAAACTAAATTCTTTCTTTTGATTTAGCACTGGCTTGATCCTACCAAGGCTATCAAGAAGCAAGTAAAAAGTAAGTAATTCCATTCTATTTTTTCTCCATGTATTTACATACACCTACGTTAAACTCTTTGACTCTATTTCCCCATTACTTATGTGGACTCTGGGGTTATTTGACACCACACGTTTTACCCAATAGTTTATCTGCATTTCATGCACCAGTGCTATTTGGAATTATTAATTAACAAAAATGATGCTATGTATATGCTTCATTTACTATATTGTTCTAAAAAAAACAAAGAATAATATTTCCAGAAAAATATTTTAGCATATACTCATAACTATACAGAGGTGTCTACCAAACCAGCATGAGAATGTCCGATACGAAGTTACTAACTCATAATAGACAAATACACAAGATTTATTCAGAAACAACAATGTATAAAATGGAAATGGACATGTTTTTACAATTTTTCTTGTAATTTAGACATGTAACATGGAATCTATCTGGGAGCATTTCTAACCACAGCTGCATAAAAATAAAATTACTTCAAACCAAGAAAACGTTAAAAAAACTGAAAAGTTTACAACACATGTAAAACTGGACATAAATAGCATATCTAAAAGGAGAAGTTCATGTGAATAATTTTCACTGTGGTAAAACGTTATTTGTGCCTGGGGTCAGAAAAGCCCCAAACAGTTTAAGGGTTAAACCTTCTTGCAGCCCAACTATGCATATTTTGAAGGAAAAAGCATTCTCCTGTCATTCTCTCACTATCCAATCTGTGTATCACATCAGTTTGCTGTGTGAAGTATCATTCAATTTCACAATTAATTAGTAATGCTTATATCTACTATCTGAAGGACAATTGAGTATATAATTTAAATTCATCCATTGTTGCTTTATGCATTCCTTTTTAACATGACATTGATGTTAAGGCATTCTATTTGAGCCTATGTATCATGAGTGAATAGTGAATTAATGTCCATTAAAGTAGATCCTTGTTTCGTTAGGCTATTAACAGACATTAATTGTCAGAAATTAACGTACACCCAATCCATTGGCCTATTGGAGATGAAAACCTTGCCTGGTGGCTATCATAGAGGAGATCAAGAAACTTTTTTGTCAAAAGTCATGGTAAAGGCTAATGTGAAGTTGTTGGTGTGTCTGCAAAAATATTAGTGACAACAACCATTCTCTAGCATTATTTATCAATACTGTCTCTCAGTCAAATATATTTACAAATGTGCAAATGAGAATATTACTGGAGTGAAGTATTTTTTTGTGGATGGTAATATTGGCCTCACAGAAATGCAAGATAGTATGATTTAATAACTCTGTACCAATTCCCAGTACAAGAGGAAACTACTCGTCTATACCATTAGACAACACATCTGAGAGTTTCTGTATTCTTTGGTACACCTGTATTACAACATGTGAAAAATAACTTTAGGTAAAAATAATTTTTTTAAAAGTCTGACTCATAGCAATAATATTTCAATTTTTGTCAATTGTCAATAATTTGTATCTTTACTCAAAATGAAATATACAAAACAACTGAAAGTTGTATTCTTTCAAGAAATTGATGAATATTATTTATTCTGCATAAAATTCATGTTTTTCATTTGCACTCACTATTCATGTTTTTCATTTGTGTACTCATGCACCAATGGGGAAAGAGGGGTCCGGAACTGTAAGCAGGAAAAAATATAGGTGTAAGGTGCACAACAATGCTTTTACCTAGTGTGGTTTGTTAGGAGAGGAATTTTTAAAAGTAGAATACCAAAATACAAATAACTAGTGTTTTCTTATGAACTTTTGGTACAATATTTGTATTGTTCAAATATTTCAAATGACAAACAGTTGTGTACCAGTGTGTTGTCAGGGTCCTTTGGTTCTCAAGTGCAACAGTTGCTACATGACCACTGGCTGAAATGAAGGAACAAACCATTTTCTTTCCAATGCTCCATGATCTCTTGGTCTTTGTTGGAGCTCTTTTGTGAAGGAAGATCTGCAGGAAGATTAGACTGCATCCAGTGTTGGATCTGTGCAATAATAATTGTATTTCAATGTGGCAATAATTGAATAAACACTTTAAGTATTGGTCCAATCCGATTGCCATATGATGTTGCTACTTGGGAAAATACGGACATCGTGATTTATTTTTATAATTTCAGCAAAAAATGAAAATTGTTATAGTGATATTTGAAGAATCAAAGCGTACCTTGTAAAAGTTGGTACAAATGGAACTGATAATAGAGGGTCAATTTATCTGGGTATTAACAATGCGAAAGTGATATTTATTGTCTTTATTTTACAAATGAAACCTAATTGGTTGATTACCCTAAAAGAAATTTGTAATTTATTGCAATATTTTTAAAATTACTCTTATGAGTTGTAATAAATAGGTTATGCAGGTGGCTGTGAAGTAATGAAGAAAAATGACTGTAAAGAAAATAAATATTACACACAGTAACATAAAGAAAAAATGATTATTTTTAAAGCCACTGACATGATTTGAGAAGTTGGTTTTTGCAGGGTTTTCAGACATTGAATACTCTGGAACAAGGATGAGTGGTCAAAATGAGACTGAGCATTGGTGCCTGCTGTAGAATTTAGAAATCTGTAAGGTACTATAAAAGTCAAATTGTAATTTTTATTGAAAATACAAATGGTTACCAAAGAGAAACAGATAATGCACATGTTTAATTAAAGAATGAAGTGTACAGAGATGTTCTTGAGATAATACAACTTTCTATAACTTTTATCATTCCATGACCATGTTCTGGAGGGTCATGTACCACTTTGCATATTTCGTGTACAGATAAGTTGGTAATTATCTTTTTCTGAAGAACTGCTAAATAACTTCCTAAATGACCTAGCCTTTTCGAACTTAAGTGTGAACTTGACTTCAACCAAGAATAAGTCAGTGAAACAATTCTGTCCCTGGTGTCTTTTGAATTAAACATAACCAATTATTTTATGCTGAATAAAAATGTTGAATGTTGGTGTAAAAGTAAAGAAAAAGGTGTAAAAGGAAAAACTTATTATTGTAATGAAAACAATTATTTAATATGAATTGCTTTAGCCTGGATGTTTATCACTTGAAAGTGTGGAAAATTAGTATGTATTTATGACAAGCATGCATATGTATTTTTGTGAGATTATGCAAAAAAGAATATGACCTAACAAAATATTATGCTGCGGTACTATATAGGTGTTGTTGTGAGTTATCGTTGGCATTTCTAATGAAATAATTGACGACGCATATAATTATTTCACTGTGGTACTATGCTTTGTCGCTGTATATTGTAAATGTATTTTGAATATATTGTTGGTAGAATCAAAAACATTTGAGAATAATACATTTTTGTTACCCTAAATTCTGAGGTGCATGTTGTCTGTTTGTAACCTGAATTGAATTGAATTTGCCTTATTTTACGTGGCGAGACTCGGGCCATCAGGCCCACTCTTCCGTCTGACCACGCAAATTTCGCTACGCTCCTTTCATCAACTAGCAGAGAAAGGAGGTATTTCTTGGGTGAGAAATAGGCGATTTGAATTTAGTTCAGAGGAGTCATTTAGGCTTGAGGATCTTTTACATGCAAGTAAATCTACGAACATGGGACAACCGGCTTTACTTCCCCTCCGAAGGAAGGCATACAAAGGATTTTGTCACTCTAAAAATCCACGGCTTTGATCGGGTTTGAACCTGCGAGCTTGGGTATAACAGTCCGGTACACTAAACGTGACACCATCGCCACCGCCTGAATGGCAAGCAAATATTTTCAAATTGATTTAAATAACAACATCCCCTCAATAGCTCTGCTAAAACCAATATAACACGAAAACCACGACATTAAAAAGAAATTTTTTACTTTCTTACAACACATTGTATTGAGAAAGTGTTGTAAAGCTGCAGAAAAAACTTTTTTTTTTACAGCACTCCTATTCTAGGGCTCTGACACAGTAAAAGTGGATAAATATTGTTCCAATAAGTAGTAAATTACTTTCCCTAATACGTTGTGTAGTCAGATTTATGTCATCATTACTTCCCCCTATCACGTCTAGTCATGCTTTGTGGGGCCTTGATAATCAAATTGGTTTATAGCAAAACGTTTAACGTCATAAATTGGTAAACTGCTTTTTTAATTACAGAATTCTCCAGTCTATAATGGTGTATTTGTATTATTATAATAGTGTGTTTTTTAAAACGTAACTGAAATTAACATTATTGCCAAAAGGTACCTGACATGTATACCTTACATAAATGAATTGTCATTCTTATTTAATTCTGTTCTAACAAAAAATATCATATTCTTCAATTTTGTAGAAATTTACATAACATGCATATATTAAAATATCAGACCCTCAACTAAAGCACTGATAAAACAGGCCTGCAAAATGTAGGTGATGAAAAATTGTTTGTTAAATTTCGTCTTTAAGTTTACGTAATTAGGTGTGCTGATTCCAGATATAATCTCCATTAATTGTATGAAGTGAGGATTTTTCACTAAGTGCATTTGAATATATATGAAATAAATTTATGTTATGATGCAAACGCATGCTTGTTATTCCTTATCTTTCATATACTCTTTCTATATCTCTTTCATACCTTCCCTTCATTGCTGTTGCAAAGAGTAACTATTTAATTTTTTACAATTTATATAAAAGGCTTTGGTGTGTTTATCAGGCATTTTCATTGTTTGTCACTGATAGAATATAGAAACTTCTTAATTTACCAGATTTCTTCTTAACATAGAGTTCTTCCTGCTATTAAAATCTTTTCATGGTTTTCTTGATGGAATCATAATAAAATTCTGAATGGTATCAAACATCACTTAATTTTGCTCTTAATACTGAAGCATATTTTGGATTAATATCACTCAATGAAACTTTCATTCTGTAGACATGTCAAGGTTGCTGGCTAGCTGGCTAGAGTTCATGGCTACTGTCATTGTGTCAGTTCACAATTATTGGCCCAAATTTAGTCATAATAATTCTCATTTCCTCTACTAGAGAAATTGTCCATCAAAATAATACATCAGTATTAAAACAAATTTGTCGATTGTCCACCCATCTACATCTAAGAGGTGATTTTATTATAGGAGTTGACTACAATAATTATAATAATAGTTTAAATAATTTATTTTACATTATTGCAGTATATAACAATTAATTAATGAAACAACGCAAATTGAAAACTAACACAAAGTTGCAATTCCAATATATATCTGCCCCTTGGCAAAAATTATAATAAAAGGCGAAATTTAAAAAGAAAACAAACATGAAATGAAGTAATGAGTATTTAAGTATGTAAACATAATTCAAGTCTTGATTGATTGATAGAAAACATCCGGCAAATGTGTTCATATGAAGCAACTATTCTTGTGATATTTTGAGCTCACATTATGCTACCACCCCCGCTTCAGCTTGTGCATGTACACCCCTTCCTGGATTTGGAGGGGAAATAAAGAGAGGAGTCAAGGGATTTGGCAAGTGCCTACAGGAGCATCAGGCTTCTCAGGCAAGCAAGTGGCTCGTGCCAGCACATTTTGATATGCCTGCTATACAAGTTGAAATACTTAAAAGTGGTATTCATTGTTTTATTATTATTGATGCAAAGTCCCTTTTGAGTTGAAATGTTTTATGCCTATGTAATGTGTCTAATTGTGTGACAAAAGAAACTGTTTTTATATTTAGAGGGTTGTACTTCGCTATTCATTTGTTCTTTATTTTTAGTTGGTCCTCCGTATACTCTTCGTTTACGAGTAAAATTTTACTCCTCGGAGCCCAACAGTCTTCGTGAAGAGCTCACTCGATATCAGTTTTTTCTTCAACTAAAACAAGATATATTTGAAGGAAAATTGGAATGTCCATACCAAACTGCTGTTGAATTGGCTGCATTAGCTCTGCAGTGTGAGTAAATGTCTTATTTAAGTTTCATTTATCAGAAGTAGAAAGATTTGAAGTGTGTCTGTAAACACTTAATGTCATAATTTTGGGGTCTGAAATTGTTATCGTTAAATTTAAGAGTCATCAGAAATTCATCTTTGCTTAATAGGTTACTGATCAAATAAGGTCTAATAATGAAAAATGTTATTAATAAAACAAACATTTATTACAATATAATAAAATGAGAACATTGTTAATCAATCTAGTAGGAAAAATATATGAAAGGAAATTCATAAACATATAGACATTGTCCACAATAATTCTTCACATTTTAAGCTCCTTTTATTCTAACCAAGTTCCTCAACGGATGCATGCAGTAAAAATTCTGTGAAATTTTCAGTATGCAATAAAGGCCTCCCCCCTTTTTTTATATACTTAATTTAGTGTATTAAATGTAGACTCCTTTATTCATTGGGAAGTGAGAGTCTTTCGACTAAAAACTATTTTCTACTTTCTAAATGAAATTCATGTTTATCTTGTTTTAGCTGAACTTGGTGATTATGATGAAGCTTGTCATACTCCAGGAGTTATCTCTGAATTCCGTTTTGTACCTAATCAAACAGAAGATATTGAATTAGCTGTTTTAGAAGAGTTTAAAAAACTTCAGTAAGTGTTTGTTCCATGAATGTTCTAATTTTTTAAATGTTTCTGGTAACAAGGGTTTACTCTAATTTAAAAAATTGATGCACAAAAGAAACCTTGCAGTAATGAGATTTCATTAGAAACTTAAAACTTGTATTATCAATTGGGTAAATTGTCATTGTATTTTCTTATGTGGAGTTCAATTTAGTGTTTTCTATCTTTGTAATTTATATTGGTTATTTTTCAGACATTTCATTTCATACATTTGATTCAGAAATAAAAAGATGTTATGAAAGTAATGTTACTAAGTAAGGAGTAAAATAGTTAATACCCAAGAACCTGATTAATGAGTCATATTTTGGTAGCATCTTTCTTTACTATCTTAAATAGTGGATTATAATTTTTTTCTTTGTTATAGTGGCCTGACTCCTGCCCAAGCCGAAATGAACTATTTAAACAAGGTGAAGTGGCTTGAAATGTATGGAGTTGATAACCACATTGTGTTGGTAAGTTGTGTTAATTCTTTCTTTAGGCCTTTCATTGTATTTTTATAACTGAAAGAAAGATTTATAACACTCATGTTGCCTTACAAGCAATAATCTGACCTCAATTTTTACTTTCTCATATGTGTATACTGCATGTAGAAAAAGCATTGAAATGCTTCAATTTTGTGATGGAAAAATACGTTTTGTGGGTTCCCGATATCAGGAAAATTGATTTTTATTGCTCCTGATAAGTGGGATAATACTGTCTTCTATACACAGCATACATTGCATTCAGGACCACAACAGGCACATCAGTTGTGACACCAAGGTGTTGTTTTACATTTTATTACATTTTTGGGTGCTTAATACCTCTTCAGGTATTGGAATGAACATCAATATTGTACAATGTAATGATCCAACACTTTATAACTTAACAGACAGAACAATCGAATTGCGATAATATGTACCTAAATCAAGTCCATTAAATATAAAACATTCTAAAATTTTCTTATTTGTGACAGCATGTGTTTATAGCAGGTTCGTTACGCAAACACTATGAATACAACAGTGTAGTACCTACACTATCATGAGTTCTGCAGGCTGCGGTAGGTTGTTAACTCAGTATTTTGCATCTCAGCACTTTCCCTCTCTCTTATGAAATTTAATTTTCTCATCTCTTTCCTCTCTAGTTTTCCTTGCATCCCTCCTATTGTATTATGAACAGTTAAATTATTTTCACTTAAATTGTACTATGCAGCAGTAGTTATTTTCCTCTATTATTACCACCTTCCGATCACTCAGCACCCTCAACGTGAAGGCTTCTCCTACATGAATTGGGTTTCTCAACAGTATTCATGTTGGAGGTATATTACAGTTTTATTTTCTTCAACCTTTTTGTAAGTACAGAGTACAGTACACTAAATTCAATGTCAGAAAGCCATTTTTATTTACACTTATGAATATTTTAAAACATTGATTTTTTTTTAATTTGTAAAAATTTTTTTAAATTTCTTGTGATGCGTTTGGTTACAAATTTTTCAAGTCAGGCCGAAAATATAAGATAGAAATCCCAATAGTATAATATTATGTAAATGATACCAGTAATGCAAGAAAGTATGTGCCATTGGAGCAATATTAGTGCTGTATCCCTTAAGAGAACAATTCAAATTCAAGTTCTCGTTACCAAATAATTAGTAACAAACCCCTAAAAGAATAGTTCATTATGCTAAATATTTGGCCTCCTAGGTGAGCTATCAGGAAATTTATGAAATATTATTTACTCGTTTATTTGCTGATTAAAACCTGTAACAGCACCATCATTTGTAAACAGTTTATCGAAAATTCTTGATGTGTCATTTTATGTATAGTGACTCTCCTTTAAATACATGCTCTTTGGTTTTATCTTTTGTTCTCTGATCATCCTAAACAATGGTTGGAAGTTGGCATTGAAAATTACAGCAATAACTTTAAGGTAGTAATGTAATTGAGAATTTCAAAAGGATGAAGATCTTATTGTTTTGTTTGGGAGTCTTGTTTGAGTGGTCTCTAAGTATTTCTAATGGTACTTTACATTCTCTTTCAAAACTTTTAGTCCAAGTGCTGCTACTTCTGAATCTTTAAATTTAGATATTTCCAAGATTTTAATCTTACTAGCCCAAAACTTCTTATTCTAATTGGTGTTGATTCCGTAATTTTGTTTGTATCATTTAAAATATAAATATGTTTATTAAACCATGCTATTAATTTAATTCCAGGGTAAGGATGGCTGTGAGTACTCGTTGGGATTGACACCCACTGGTATTTTAGTTTTTGAAGGAAATCAAAAAATTGGATTATTCTTCTGGTAATTTTTTAAATCTTTGTGTGAAATTTGTATTTTTTATGGTACAAAGTAAAATTATTATTTATGGCGAATTTTTCAGGCCAAAGATTGGTAAGTTGGATTTTAAAAAAAGAAAGTTGACTCTTGTTGTTGTTGAAGATGATGACCAAGGGCATGAACAAGAACACACATTTGTTTTCAGGTGAATAATTTTCTTTTCTGAAGTGCTCTTCATGGTTGTTTATATTTTCAAAGTTACATAATAATTTTATGATTGTTATATTTCAAGTCTAATTGGAAATGAGAAAGAATTTTTTTTTCCTTTATAGATTGCACAATGAGAAAGCGTGCAAGCATCTGTGGAAATGTGCAGTGGAACATCATGCTTTTTTCCGTTTACGTGTGCCAGTGAAAGGTCCGACTGCTAGACAAAATTTTTTCCGCATGGGATCTCGTTTCCGTTACAGGTATGTAAATGGCTGTGGTCTGATTAAAATTTCCAAGGGTCTGGGAGTTGGGAATGAGGGAAGGACAGTGTTGCAACACTTTCGCACACTTATGTGATTTCAGCTGTCCAGTTCAGCTCCATCACGCTCTCAGTTGCTCAGTTATGACCAAATAGGTTGTTCTTTGTGATGAATCACATTCATCTAGTTAAATACACTTAATATAATACTTGTATTGTGGTATTGTGTATTTTGTTGAATGCTGCTATACAAATATTACATTCGTAATCTTAATCTGTAGTTATTAATTTACATAATAACAATAATACAAACCTCAAGAGAGGCAATGGCAACAAAAACAAACACCCACCAAAGAAAACAAACAAATTGCAATTCATACACCAACCATACTGCAGATATATAACATCAGAAGTAAACATTAAACTACAAGTAGTGTGAGGTGTGAAGTGCATTAGAGCAATTATATGTTCTTCTAATAACTATTACAACTCTGTTGGGATATCATCAGAAATTAAAGCTTCTATTTGGATCCAGAATCCCCTCTTCTTTGCAACTCTGTAGCTGTCAGTTCCTTAGAAACGTTAATGAGACTATATATTAGGACATATCATGATCGTTTCTTGTTCTGTACGTATCTGATGAGGTTTGGAAAAAGAAAAAAATGTTTTCAAGTATTATTTTGCATTTTTCGTTTTTGTTTTGTTATGCATTGTTTAGACACATTTCATTATTACCATTTGATATAAACTTTGTGGACATTAAAAACTAAATTACTCATAATTTGCAGAAAATGGGATTTCTGGCCAGTGATAAGAATAATTATTAATATTAAATTGCTGTTAACAATTTAATATTTCCGGTGATTACTGAAACATGTAAAATAATTTTTTATAACTGGCAACAATTTTCACAAAATGGAAGCAAGAGTTTGGAGAAGGATTTTCAGAACAAAACAGTTTTCTTTTCTTTTTATTTATTTACAAAGGTATAGTGACAGGAAAATAGCTGGTTTGTTCATGTTACCTGAAATAGCATGCAAAACAAAATTACTCATTGGACAGAAAAATAGCTACTTATAGTATGTATATGTATATATATTTATATGTGTGTGTGTGTGTGTGTGTGTGTGTGTGTGTGTGTGTGTGTGTGTGTGTGTGTATATATATAGACACACACACACATATACTTTACAGTAATGCCATATAAGAATTAATCAAGTGAAAAGAAAGTAGTTGTAGAGTTGTAGTAGTAGCAGCAGCAAAAGTATGATAGTCTTGGTCCTCACAGTAGTGGTAATAGTAGTAGTAAATACTAGTTTGTCACTAGTCTTCAGCTGTTAATTCTCAACCCAATGCCTTCTCCACTAGTTTCAGTCACATATTTCAGGTCTTCCTCATCTTATGTGTGAAATAGGTTGCCAATTCCCGATCTTTTGAGGCTATTGTTCTTCTCCCCTTATGTTCAAGTGCCCTTATCATTTGGTATTCCAGCTCACACTTCATTCATAATAGTGAATTGCTTAGTTATAGCTACAGGCAAAGAGAACTACCACAGGATGATTACATCTAGAGCCTCAAGAAATAAAAGCCCCTGACAGAGAGCCATATAATTATATAATTAACTGCCTAAAAATATGAAAGATGTATGTGAAGAAAAGAAATTCAATGACTTGTAGAAATGTGCCCCTATAAATTGAAATAACTAATAGTATCAAAAATGTATTAGTTTTATAATTTAATTTGTATGTATGTGCCTTAAGTATATTATGTATTTTCTTATAATTGTATATTATGTGTTAGTTTTTGTTCTTATCCCATTTTTAAGTTATTACACTTAGACAATGCTTGAAACTTATCACAGTATAAGTCTATTAGCAAATAAAAATTATTTTTATTATATGGTTTAACGAAGTCTCAACAGTATCAGTACCATTGAAATAAAGATTCACTTTTAATTTCAATAATATTGATAATGTTGAGACTCCACTTTTTTCACTTTTTTATTTTGTTTAACTATGTGAGTCCACAACTTTCATGCCAATAGTCTATTTCAATTGTTGTAAGTTTATTCTCATTGCCTTCAAGTATTTCCAAAACTTTAGACCTATTCATATCAATAGTCTTGTACAACTTTCTCACAGCACCCTTCCTGAAAGTTTTGTTCCATATCAAGGAATGCAGTGATCCTATAGTTACTTTCCATTTGACATTCTACCCAAAATGTCTTGTGTACTACCATTGCCTCTATTTGTGTATGTAATATTCTGGTAGGATTTAACATCTGGTCCATCATCTGAACACCAAGTCATGGCTTTTCCTCCTACAGCAATGTAGTCTGTTTTATTAATGTTTATTTCAAGACCTCAATACAAGTATTCTTCATGTCTTTACAATGTGTAGAAAACATCTTTCTTCCCAGGAAAGATAACTTGGTTGTTTGCATAATCAATACAATAGAGGATGAAATCATCAATTTTTATACTCAGATTGCAACATTATTTCCTACAGTTTTTTAAAGTTTTGTTTTAATAAAATTTTATTAAATTAATTATTTTACGTGGCAAGACTCAGGCCACGAGGCCTGCTCTTCCGTCTGCCCACGCAAATTTCGCTACACTCCTTTCACCAACTAGCGAAGGAGGTATTTCTTGGGCGATGAAACAGGCAATTTGAATTTAGCTCAGAGGCTTCAGGATCTTTCACATGCAGTAAATCTACTTACACAAAAAACTTAGCTTTATTTCTTGTGCGAAGGAAGATCTACGAAGTATGTCTTTTTTTTTGTCCCAACTACCCCAACCTGGCTACCCCTGCAAATAGCTACCAACTACTGTTGGCATACTTTGCACACATTTGAACACCAAAGTCATCACAGTGCTGCCAACCTTTAGCAAACAAAAGTATATCCTTAACATTAAACACAAAATCAAGCCCCAACACCAAAACACTTTGTTAAAATTGATGAAAACACAATACCAGCAACAAAATATACAAAGAATTTCGGAAGTATATCAGAGTGGAAATGGTATTACCATGTCAATTATTTGTTATATTTTATTGAGTAATAGTGGCAGCAATAAGCTCTGTTATTCATATCTAACAATTCTGTATGATACGTTTTTTCTCTCTTATACATAGTCTCTCTCTGTCCCTCTCTCTCCCTCTCTGTCCCTCTCTGTCCCTCTCTCTCCCTCTCTGTCCCTCTCTCTCCCTCTCTCTCCCCCTCTCTCCCTCTCTCTCCCTCTCTCTCCCTCTCTCTCCCTCTCT